ACAAAGAGTGTCCGTATTCATGAAGCACATGAAAGTATCATTAACGAATATGAGTGCTCTTTAATGAGAAGATTCTCGATCGAGCCGGTGTGTGATATGAATATGTAAGTGTAGCAGATGAGTGGTCAGAAATTATGGAAACGTTGGCCAAATCAAACGATTGTTGATCAATCCGTTGATCACGAAATATGGCAGAATGAATTTTGCAACATCTTACCGAGTTTATGCACTGGTCCAACGTAGCCTGAACCATACGGAGTTGAGCAATTCCAGCGTTCGTTTTTGAACTGATGCTGACATTCCTGAAGCGAGCTTATGCTAAAATGTTCCGAAAGTTGTGGTTGTGCGGAATATTAGCGCTGCCGCGAACGATTCTTTTGCTTGATGGCGAAACCTTCTTTTTTTGAGATTTGTCTTTCTTCAAACTTCACGCATGAAACTGCAGTGACACACGAAATTGACCTGAGTGATAGAGCTAAGGTGAGAGAGAGTATTATGTGCTCATGAAAGAGATCATAAATTATTGTGCTCATAAACGAGACGATCTCTTAGTGTTCCAATCATAAATGAAGCAAAATCTTTTTTTTTTGATTGCGTATGAGTTAGTTGTCAAGACTAATCCCCACTGCGGATTAACGAAATCTCTAAACATCTGAAGATGGATTATAGCTTTGTTCAGTGCGATAGCAGTCTTCTATCATAATTGTTCTCGTTGAACATGGAATCGCTTACAGAAAACGTTCTATTGAAACGAAACTGTCACATATTAATAAGTGCACAATGATGAGGTCATGTGATCGTGAGTCAACACAACTGCGCTATTCGCTCGAATCATCATTTTTTAATAGTCATAGCATACCGCAACTTGGCGGATATTCATATGGGTTAATAGAGGATACGGATATTCAATAGAGTGAGTGGCATGTCATCAAACGGCCTGAGAATTCTGCTTTAAGCGGTTTCATGTTCGTGAGTAAAGAGAACAAATGAGGACTGTGATGTGCGATTAATTGTTTGTGTGAAGACGATTTCTATTACATTATGCGCATCATCTGTTATTGAGACTTTAAAACGTTATTAGTTTCGTTTAAGATTCTGCATGGAAATGTCCCTTTTGGATTCAATCGAATGATTTGAAGTGATTTATTTGAATCACATGAACATTACTGATTTTGCAGTGTGCTATGATAATTTTATGCGAAAAAACATGTGACATTTCTTGAATATTCCATACGTATCAAAATGAATGTAATACGAATTTTTGCTTCACAACTCATTATTAAGTAACGATAAACCACTGTTTAATTCGATAGAAGTTTGATTGAAGCTGAACAGTTGGATTAATGTATGATATTCAATGAATTGAATATAAACTGGACAATTGTTTTAATCGTTGCTCCATTACGAATGAATGAATTACGAGAAGAGATTAAAAGAAGAAGAAGAAGCGAACCGCTATCGCAGTTTTCGCTCCTGCACCGACGGCCGGCATATGGTCACGAAAAAGCTCACATATCCGTGCTTGTCCAGGCGATAATCCGTGCAAATGCAAACACATCGACCGCGGACCACTTCCAGCCAGCAGATTTGCCGTACTCAGTTGTGCAACTGATGACCTGAATGTGCGCTGATTTTCATCGCTCAATACGAACCATTCCCAATTTAGCACTCATCGAATTCTCGAAANACTATGAAAACATTCGATCAAGAAGATAATGCGAGGTACGAATTTGCAAGGAGAACAACAATCAATGGATATAACTCACCACCATGAAGCGTCCAAAACGCAGTAACTGTTTGGAATCGATGATGTGAAAAGTAATAAAATCAGCAATAGGAAATATTCCATCTGAAAGCAGTTAAAATGATCAAAATCACCAATCTATTAGACTTCGAAAAGAAGTGAACACGAAAGTTCTCGCAAAATAACAAATGAAATGTGCGTTCAGTAAATGCTTGAGGTTAGCAAATGCTCAAATCAACAACGATTAATGAATATAATTGATTTTACGACGATGTCGATCAGTGATAGCGAATCAATCAGTTCAGTGAATCTGAATGCGATAAATCGTGAGATTTATTGCAAAACCTCGCAACAATTCATTATCGCTTTATGCTTGATTTATAGCGCATGCACAGTGACGTAACTTCGAGACGATAATATCGCGTTGATGAATAGAGTATCATTACTACAAACACAAAAAATGATTTAACTGTGTTGATGAAGAACCAATCGTACAGGAGCTGTTCTGAAATGCAGCTGAATTATTGCTAATTTGCAGACAGAGTTTGTTTGATGGTTTGGATTGCAAGTAAATCAATGTGAATTTTTTAACTCTTCGAATGGGTTCGACTGAAAGTGGTAACATCAAATTTCAACACGCAAAAGAATGAGGTGTAACTGACACAATGAGTCGAAAACGGAAAGCTCTTCATGCATTCGTTCCAATGATTTCGTCGTAAAACGATGCATAACATCGCATCGAAAATTTTTTGAATAATAAAATCCACAAATAAAAGTTTATATCGCTTCATTATACATCAGTTTATGATCTATTGATGAGAGCAGATGAATGAATTCAGTTAAAAATAAT